ACACCGCACGACGCCGCACTCACGTGCTTCCCCGGCCCGACCGAGGGCGGGGGACGGGCGGGGCGGACCTGCGTGCCGTGAAGCCACGGAGGGGCGCGGGCCGGGGGCGCAGCATGCCAGTAGGGGCGCACTCACCTGGACATCAGGGCCGCCCCTCCCTCCCCGCGGCCCCAGCCTTGGCCTTTGCCCCGCCCCTTCCGGCGGTAGCGGTGCGCGAGAGCGACGGAGGCAGGACACACGAGCACGGCGGCGGCGGCGGCGGCGCAGTGCCCCCTGCTGGACACTGTGTCTCGGAGGACCGCGCAGGGAGAGGGGCTGGGAGGATTCCCCCACCCCGGGCTGCGGTGTTCCCATGTGGCTCCTGAAAGTGTAGGTTTAAATCCGGGTTGAACTTGTCTTTGAAACTGACTATGAACGATGTAGGAAACCCGAGAGGACTGAAGACATAAAAGTTTAGCCGGGTGCGGGGGGCTCATGCCTGCGAGCCTAACTACTCAGGAGGCTGAGATCTGAAGCCCATGGCTCAAAGCCAGCCCGGGCAGGACAGTCCATTAGCCTCTTCTCTCCAAGAAACTACTCATAGCCAGAGGTGGTGCTGTGGCTCTAGTGGTTGAGCGATAGCCTTGAGCAAAAGCAGCTCAGGGACAGCGCCCAGGCCAGGAGTTAAGCCCCGGGACCTGTATTACTCCTCAAAAAAAAATAAATAAGTTAACATCCTCTAAGAAATAAAGCCACTTAAAGAAGAGTGACACACACGTGTCCCATTGATATATGATGCAGTAAATGATTGCATAGCAGAAAAAGCCCAGAAGTTTGGTCAACACAGGGGGCTCTGTAAGCAACCTGAGAGGCAATTAGATGAAGCAGACACTAAAGGAAGGATTTCTGTGGGTCAACCTGTGGCATAAAGTTTCATAAATGTTGACATGAATGCTCGCAGGCATTCTATATGCTTCTATATGCTCTAATTTCTACTAAATTAGAAATAGCAATTTTGTTTTTTACTTTCAGAACATTCTCTATTCTGGGCTCTGCACACCAGTCTGACACAGGCACTGATGTTCAGCTTCACCCGATGGCTTCTTGGTGGTACTTGTACCACAAGAAACAGCAGTTAGAAAATCATTTCTAGCTGGGCTCCAGTTGCTCACTCCTGTAATCCTAGATACTCAGGAGGCTGAAATCTGAAGATGACTTTTCAAAACCAGTCTGACAGGAAAGTACATGAGATTCATCTCCAATTAACTACCAGAAAACCAAAGGTAGAGTTGTGGCTCAAAGTGGTAGAGTACTAGCCTTAGTGAAAGAGCTCAGGGACAGTGCCTAGGCTCTAAGTTCCAGCTCCATGTCTGACATACATACATACGTACATACATAATTGTAAGCCAGTCTCACACCTGTAATCCTAGCTACTCAGGAGGCTGAGATCATGGTTTGAAGCTAGTCTGAGCAGAAATGTCTGGGAGACTCTTTTTTTGGTCGTGGGGCCTGAACTCTGGGCCTGGGTGCTGTCCCTCAGCTCTTCAGCTCAAGGCTAGCACTCTACCACTTGAGCCACAGTGCCACTTCCGGCTTTTTTCTTTTTGCTTATGTGGTGCTGAGGAATCGAACCCAGGGCCTCATGCATGCAAGGCAAGCACTTTACCACTGAGCCACCTTCCCAGCCCTCTCAGAAATCTTAAGATACCAAATCCTTTGCATTTTCCCATCGATTCTGGCTTGTTGTTACCTGTCAGTACAAGGCTAGCCTGGGTAAGATCAAGACACCAGTGTCACCAAAGAAAAAATAAATGCTAGGTAGATGCTTACCGGTCCTGGGGCTTGAACTCAAGGCCTGGTGTACTATCCCTGAGCTTTTATTTTGCTCAAGGACAGCATTTTACCACTTGAGCCACAGCACCACTTCTGGCTTTTTCTGTTTATGTGATACTGAGGAATCGAACCCAGAGCTTCATGCATGCTAGGCAGGCACTCTACCACTAAGCCACACTCCCAGCCCCCTCTTTAATATTTCTTTTTACTTTTTTTTTTTTGTCATTGAACTCAGGGCCTGAGCACTATCCCTGAACTTTGCTGCTCAAGGCTACTGTTCTACCACTTTGAGCAACAGCTTCATTTCCAATCTTCTGGTGTTAATTGGAGATAAGAGGTTCACAGATTTTCCTGTTGGCTTTGAACTGCAACCCTGGGATCTCAGCTTCCTGAGTCTCTAGGATTATAGGCATGAGCCAACAGCACCCAGCTTTCATTTACTTCTTTTGGTTTTATTTTGTTGTATTTTTCTAATGTCTTTAGCTGAGTGTTTAGATAATGTAACTTCCTGGTTTTCTTTCTTCTAACCTTCTAATATAAGACAAGCATTTGAAACTATACATTTCCTGGGCACTGGTGGCATATGTCTGTAATTCCTAGCTACTTAGGAGGCTGAGATATGAGGATCATGGTTTGGAGCTAGCCAGGACAAAGTTGAAACTTTCCATCTCTAATTAATCCACCAGGGCTGGAGGTAGAGGAATGGCTCAAGTGGTAGAAGAGAAGCCTTGAACAGAAAAAGATGAACAAGACCAAGAAGCCTCCAAATAGCTCCTTAAGTATTCTGTCAGGAAAGTGGCAGCTTTCTTTATAAATGTACCTTTGGGGCTGGGAGTGTGGCTGAGTGGTAGAGTGCTTGCCTAGCATGCATGAAGCCTTGGGTTCAATTCCTCAGTAAACAGAAAAATCTGGACGTGGTGTTGTGGCTCAAGTGGTAGAGTGCTAGCCTTGAACAAAACAAACTCAGGGACAGTGCCCAGGCTCTGAGTTCAAGCCCCAGGACTGGCAGAAAATAAAATAAAATAGTGTACCTTTCACTTGTCTTCCACCCAGGCTAAAGGATGAAGCAGAAATTAGTGCTCACAGGTAAAATGGAAATGAAAAGTTCTGTGGCTAGAAAGAAGTCTCTTCAGCGCTTTGAACTATGTGGTTTCATGTTTTCTATATGCTCAAGGCTTGAGTCTATAATTTGTATAATTTCCATTCAGTCTCTTGATATTTTACAGCTTTTTTCTTAAAATTGTTTTGATGTACCTGGATTTGAACTCTTGGCCTTACACTCACTCGGCATGCTTACTCTGCCACTGGAGCCATGCTTTTCTCTATTCCACAACCTCTTTTTATTGTTCTTGTTGTTGTTGGCTGTGGGGTTTGAATTCAGGGCCTGGTGCTGTCCCTGAGTTTCTTTTTTTTATTTTTTTTATTTTTTTTTTGGGTCCGGTCATGGGGCCTGAACTCTGGGCCTGGGCACTGTCCCTCAGCTCTTCAGCTCAAAGCTAGCGCTCTACCATTTGAGCCACAGCGCCACTTCCGGCTTTTTTCTTTTTGCTTATGTGGTGCTAAGGAATCGAACCCAGG